AGAAACGCAGTGCCGTCCGTTGCGACGGTCTGACAATGCCGCGATCGGTAATTCGTTGAACTGGAAATGATGACGACGAGAAGCGAGGCACGTCCAGCCTTGGGTGCCAGGAGCGTGCTCGAGGTGCCAGTCCCCTCTCCAGCTTCCTCCACCGCACACATGATGCAAGCAATTGCAGTAGTCGAGTCGCAGCATACAAGGTAAGTCACGCATGCAGGGAGATACAAGGTGACGATCCGTTGCACCCAAGGAGCTTCGCTGGAAACTTGTGTTCTCAGATACGAGGGATCATGGTTTTCGTTACGAAGCGCAAAAACTAACGCAATCCCGCTTCACCTTCTGACTCAGAAGGACTCTCTCTGTTCCTGGCTCAGATGCAACTAAGAGCCTGGATCAAAATAGCAGACGTTCAATGAAGGCGTGCATTCGTGAGCAGGGTCAAGGGTACCGGTACATCGTAGTGTCGCTCTCTGCGAGGTCCTGCGCGCCGTATTGACCGGAGTCTTTGCTACAACGTACGACATCGACTATGTAAGAGACACTATCTTCAAGAACCACTTGCTTCGCCCACGCAACGACGACGACGGTCCCACCCCCACCGTTAGTCCAAGGTCTGTCCATACATGCCAGCCTTCGCAGTGCCACGCTTGGTATGCAAGGTAAACGCCGCGCCCACGAGCGTTGCGTCAGCACTGTCGTTGCGTGTAGCAGCACACTCGGTGGTGTTGCTTCGAATGGCTTTGGGCTCTGCGCCGTTGGTATTTGTAGGTCGACTGGCATCGCTCACGAGGCAAAGACGACGCCGCCGCCATCACGCCGGCTGTTGCCATCCTCCAAACAGCTGGTTCGAATGCGACCACACATGTGCTGTGGGACTCACAGTACAGAGCACGTCCCACTGCCGCTCGTAGTGTGTTCTTGCGGTCGACTCGGTCCTTTTGGCACGAGCCGATCGCTCACTTTTCCATTCGATCTCCTCAAGAGACTCGATGGTGGCGCGACGCAACGAACTCGCACCGGCCGAGCGGCTCTCGTATGTGAGCTCCACGACGGGCATCATCAAGGGCAGCGCCGACGATGGCTTTGCCGAGTCCAAGACACCCGGCGAGCTCGAAGACGGCGCGCTTCGCAACGGTGACGCGCCCATCTACACGTCGCCCGAGATTCTCGCCCTCCTCTTCCAGTACGCGGCCATCGGTGTCGTCTACGGCGGCATGAACGGGATGCAGTACCCGGTCTTGACCGGGTACTTTACGCTCCAAGGCAACGTGCTCAACTCGGCGACAGCGCTCATGAGTCTTGGCTGGTCGCTCAAAGTCTTCTTTGGCATGCTCTCGGACTGCGTCCCGATCTTTGGCTACCACCGCAAGCCGTACATCCTCATCGGGTGGATCCTCACGGCCGTGCTCCTCATCATCGTCGCACTCAAGCCTGCGGGCGAGCCGGCGCCGGACCCGGAGGCCGCCTCGAACGGGTCGACGCTCGCGCTTTTGTGTGCGGTCGCCTGCTTTTGCTACATCATGGCCGACGTGGCCCAGGACGCACTCGTGGTGTCGTACGCCCAGCGGGAGCCGCTCGCGCATCGCGGCCGTCTCCAGTCGATGATCTACGCCGTGCGCACGGTCTTTATGGCCATCATGTCGGCCATCTCAGGCTTTTGCCTCAACTCGGAGCGCATGGCGGGCTCGTACGACTGGGACATTGGTGTCAACGGGTACTTTTGGATCATGGCGGCCACGTCGCTCCTGAACGTGCCGGTGGTATGGTTCTTCCTCAAGGACGTCAAGGCGGAGACGCACATCTCCGTGTCGACGTACCTCGAGCAGTTTTGGTCGCTCGCACAAAAGCGGGTCGTGTGGCAGGTCATGATCTTCAACTTTATGTTTTCGCTCTTTACGTCGTACATCTCGACGACCGCGTCGTCGTACGTGGCGCGCTACTGGGCCGGGGTCGAAAACCTCAACTCGTCGCTCATCAGCATCATTTCCAACCTCATCTTTGCCGCTGTCCTCATCGTCACGGGCAAGTACGGCACGCACTGGAACTGGCGCTACGTGCTCATCATCACGACCCTCGCGACCAACGTCATTGACGCGATCGTTCAGTATTGCACGATTTTCGACGTGATTCGCAACCAGTGGTTCTACCTCGGCGTACCGCTCTCGGAACAGCTCCCGGCCGGCATCAACTTTGTCGTGGGCACGTTTGTGATTGTCGAGCTCGCCGAAGAAGGCAGCGAAGGCATCATGTACGGTCTGTTGACGACGATCACGAACCTCCCGGGCGTCTTTGGCCCGATGATTACGAACGTTATTGACGCCAACTTTGACGTCCGCAGCGAAGACATCAAGGGCGACCTCCCCTACACGCGCACGCAGGTCGCGTACACGTACATCATTGCGTACTCGGCGACGGTCATTGGCTGCCTCTGGGTGTGCATTTTGCCCAACCAAAAGGCGGCCGTCATGGAGCTCAAGAAGCACGGCGGCAGCTACCCCAAGGTCGCAGCGTTCATCTTTTACGCTTTCTTTGTTATCCTCGCCACGTCCATCACTGGCACGATGACGTCCATGTTTGACTCGACCAACTGCCTCAAGCTCGCGGGCGGGGACGGCTGCCCGGACGGCACGTCGCAGCTCTACTTGCTCGGCATCTTTGTGCCCGCCGTCGTGGCGCTGATTGCGATTGCTTTCGTCTACAAGAAGTATGCGTAAGCTGTCGTAGGCCGACTGTGTTTTTGTAAAGTAATGTGTTGTGTAAACCATTTCTTCTCTCCCAGTACATGTTTTGGAGGAAAGGCAGACCACGCACAAGCCTCGAACAAGTTTTGAAGCACGACGTCGTCTTCACCAGTCAGGGTATGTGGTGGTCTGTTAACCGCATTTGAAATGGTACATGTCCATTCCGGTCTCACTACAGTAGTGTGAGTAAAGTGCCGTGGCCGCACTGGGAGCGATTGGGGTTAGGGTTTCGTCTGGAACG